CCTGATCCTGAGGCATGCTCTGGTTTTATGAAGGAATTGCTGATGGAAAATCTCGAGGTTTTCGTGGAATCATGCGTTGCAAATATGCCTGACGCGGTGCGACGATTGAAGTCGGAAGAGGACTCACAACGACTAGACCAGATCACTGCACTCAGAGATGGCCTCACTTCTAACCTCCACCGTGGCTTGGTAGAGGTGCGGACTCATCTCGAGTCCTTCCTAATGATCATCTCATTCGCCTTTGAACACCGACAAGATGCCGCTGAAGAATTCTGGGCTGATCCTGATGGTAACCTTTATGGCTTCCTTCAGTGGGCGTCCAAACGACAGACTGTTCCTCGGGTCAGCGCTTTTTGCGAAATGTTGTGTTCGATCTCTGAAGGCGAAGACAACGCAGCTGCGGCGCATCGATTCCTATCGGAGGAAGACAAATTCATGTCCTCCAAATTCAAGCGATCCACAACAATGAATTGGTCGCAAATGTTCGCTGAACTAAAGCTTTACGCATCTCGGGTCACTGAGAATCCTTCCACTACAACAATCCCCGAGGGAGTGCCAGGGATATTTCGTCCCCGGAAACCAGAGCCCGTAGAAATGAATGAACCTGAGAGCCCCGTGATGCTGACATGCTACCTCCGGCTGATAGGTCACCTGTGCAAACAGAGTCGACCTATTCGGGAGTGGATGCTGCAGAACGAATCCTTTAATGCAGTTAGCACACTGTTAGACTTATGCAGTGGGCCGATTCCATCGCATCTTCGGGCAACTGTTTTTTCAACGCTCTCAGCACTGATGACTGAAAAATCTTCCACCGTTGGGAAAGAAACATGGACCCGCCTCGACGGATGGTTATCGGGAGGTACTGGCGCATCGGGTATTGGTAAGGTGCCTTTGGTTTCCAACCCTGCCGTGTGGCACCAACAACAAGCCTTGCAAAAGATCGGAGAGAGCTTTGATCAGACGAATGCATTTGTCCTTCTTATCAATGCGCTTGCTGCTCCCTCGTTCGACTCAATTGACGACCCAATGTCATTGCCTTTCCCAGAGACACTAGGTGGAACCTATCGCATGTCCGGGATTGAGCCATACATCGATTTTATCTTGGGGCACGCCTTTTCACGGAAGATTCAAGACCTTAACGAGTATCAATCCCGCCTGTTGACCTTCAACTGCCTGGACTTCGTTGTGGCAAGCTTGGAATCCTTCAATGAAGACCTAGTGTTGCTTCTGAGCCAGCCGTCCGTGTCAGATTCCCCGATGCAAACATCATCGCTGCTCACGTACGTTCGCTCTCATCCGTTTGCCCGCGTGGTAGACTGGCTTTTCAACGAAGATGTCCTTAAAGCTCTGTTTGCAACCTCTAAACAAGACGTTTCAAATGTCGCTACTGCGTCGTCCGAGTCTGTCGTGGTTCTGACCTTGCAGCGGAGTCTGAGGGTCATGAACTTGCTTGTCGACCTTCAATCGACATACTTTAATATTGTCAAGCCTGTGGTACACTCCCAGCCCGGACCATCCCGAGCCCTCGTGGCAAACTCTTCGCTTGCTTCATTCGAGGACACCGTGTTGAACAATCTGACACTCATCCCGTCACTTTGTCTCTATTGCAGCACGGGGCATGCACAGCTTACCGTCGCTTCCATGGTTTTACTGGAAAAGCTGACAAGCTCCAGAAAGCTCAACAAGATGACCTCCCCCGAACTCGTCAAGTGGCAATCCTCGAACAAGATTGTGGAAGTGCTTGCATCTGAGGTCGACGTGGACAGCATATCACTGCCTCTTGTATTACAAATGCAGCCTGATGTGAGAGAACTTGATGCCGGCCCGGATGCCGCCGGCTATGTCATTCGCGAACGTCTTCTTGCTCTCTTGAACAGCTGTCTGGGAACGATCACAGATCGCCCTACGGTTGCCCACCTACTGCTTGGCTTCGACTGCGTGGGCAATATTCTCGATGTTTCATCAGAAGGGCTATTCGCAAATCAAAATTCCTTGCTACATGCCATCGTGAGATACCTGAAGTCTGATCCGGAGATCGTCGTCGGTGACATTACATCTTGGGTAGTGTACCTCAAGCGCATGGCTTTTGAGGTGCTGAAGCATTTATGGTCATCGAAGCTGGCTAGTTTCTACACCCTTGCTGAAATGCGTGCCCAGACATTCCTACGCGACATGTTTGCCTACCAACCCATCGTTGGGCCGAACACTACCTGGGATGGGTTCCCCGTTGATGCAGAGGAATTTTGGATCCAAGGCTGTGGAAACGCCATGGCGGAATTTTTACTTTACCGAAGCCACCTGTACACATATGCGGCGACCGAGGTTCGCTCGACAGCAAAAGCTAGATCACCAGCTCTCCATGCCCAAATTCTGTCGGTATTACTCGGAAACACGCTTACAGACAACGGTGAACCTATGTCTAGTCCGTCCGTGTTTGATCTTTTCGATTTCGCAGACCTTGATGTTGGACGCGAGTTCAACATTCCCCAGCTCTACTTGCTGGGTGATATTGCTCTTCAATTAGAAAGCAAACGGGAAAAGGGAATTTACCACATAGAAGGGGTAGAGGAGATGTTACAGGTGCGGAAGGCAGAGCTCACAGCCAATGGACCGCTCCGCCTGCAGGACGAGGAGCAGTTGGTAGCTGAGGCCGATGACCTGAGGTTGTTCATCCGTGCAACAAATCACAGAAATTTGATTCAAACCAACCGCTATCACGCCCTCCGTTCCTGGGTAGAGCTCATTGCTACGATGGTCACTTGCTCCGCTATCGACGAAGGAAGCAGGCCGGCTTTCATTCTACACTCAGTCCAATTGATTCTCCCCAAGCTTACAACGGCAATCGAGGCTGATCTCCCCGAAGCGCTTGAACTGGCCCGATTGGCTGAACTGTTGATCGGTGGACTTACATCCGGAGCTTCGCCAACAGATGCGTCTCGAAGCGGGGATGTCATTGACGAAAAGCTCCACCAACTTTTCCAACTCTGCATCCGAGGCACCAACCTGGCAACAGGAAATGTGTTGTTGAGAGAAACGCTTTATAGTATTTGCTCTCACTACATAACACGCATCACATCGTCAGACAACGGCCACGAAAACCTCCGACGGCTTAGCCAACAAGTCATCAAAGCGGCCGGTTCTGGCCTGATTGAGACTATGTGTGATGACGCCTATACTGGCCAGGAATCGTGCCGTGCATCCGCTCTTGTTTTATTGAACAGCTTAGCTGTTCTTGACCGCCAAACCGACTGTGTTTTGGCTGAGTTAATCTCAGGTTCCAACTATTTGAGTCTCTTCCTAGACGCCTTGCGTTCTCTTCCCGTGGAACTTCACAATGCCCAGGAAAGCGGTCAGTCTTCCCCCTTTTGAAATAAGTCACATTATTTTAACTAATTAAAACTTTAGACACCCCGGCACTACTGGCATATTATGAGTCGCTTTTTTCATTACTTCAGCGACTGTCTCAAACTAAAGGTGGAGCAAATTGTGTGCTCAACTCTGGTCTCTTCCAAGCCGTACACGAATCACGACTTTTCGCTGCTGATCCAGATATCGGCATCGGTGAGTCGGTCATATCCCTGCCCAATTACACCTTGCTAACCCGCTCAGATATTGACAATCCCGATGCCCTTCAGAGGTATTACGATCTTCTCCTTTCAGTCCTTCAGGTCATCGTGTACGCGGTTTTCTCCCGAGGCATCCAAAACGAACAACTTAAAGAGCAGACCCGGAAATTTTTGGCTGAAAACCGGCCATGCATGGTGGGTATCTTCAAACGATCTGCCAAGATCGGAAATACGTCAACCGCCCACCACGAGACTTTATGTGAACTAGTCAAGGCATTCATGGCTCTTGTTACTGCCACAGATTTCATGGAGGTACGTTTTCTTTGTTCTTTTTGCAATCTATTGGGACAAATGGATGATAATGTGACTAACGGAGTGCAGTTTGAGGAGCAGGAAGTGCAATATATCGCCCGACCAGCGTTGTTCTCGTGAGCTTTTGCCTACTGATGCTCACTGGAAAATTGAGAAGAAATGCATGTATCATTATGACCCGGTGGAGTGCAGGCGGTTCCCAGGTTGAGCGATTTTACTTTGAATTCATTTGTATCACATCCAATCCGTTGTGTGTAAGGCTTCCGCCTACTTTGAGCTTTCGGGCATTGTTATGGTTATCTTTTGTAGAAATTAGCCACCATGCTCGTTCTTTTCAACTCAAAGCAACGAAGTCAACAATTAGATTTCTAGGTCGAGAGGCCATATTTCTCTAATTGTTAACTACTCTGTCCGAGACATACCCAGGAAATGAACACCCAGAACCTCGCAATGAAGCATTGAGCATATTGTCGAAGGTCATGTACGACAGCTCTCGGGATCATGACGATGCAGGTTTTCGCCTAGAAATCTAGTCACCCTGTGATTCACAATTCAATCCATCATACTGTACAACCTGATCTTTGAAGGGGTCCATAGGATGTGCTGATTCACGGGGAGACTTCCATGGGTGCTGGGGTCGTGCTGTATATGATATTGACCTTGAATTAGAGACAAAGCTGATATCTATACAAATATAATAAACATGGCCCTCGCATCATCTTGTACCCTTATTGAATGCATTCGCCAGTGTGTTTTTTTCCATGGCTTTTTCGAGGCTTTTTCCATATTCTAGCCAGTACAAAATAACATATCAAATTTGGTCCCATGTAGAGTAGTGATATTGCTCCTTCCCTGTATATAGTTGCCCTAACTGGATTCGTTTCCATGGCCACCATCTATCATCGTACCTTCCTGTATAGCTTTATATTCTGTTTATCAGACCATCGTACCTTCCTGTTGCCATTACCCGTTGCCATGGAATATCAAGATGTTATTTATTTCCCCCAACTCTTCTTCTTCTCTCCTTTCTCCTCTCCCCATGCCACTGGCTTTTTTTTTTCATTTGCACTAGCTTTTGATTACCAAAACCATTTCTCATTGCTTTCAAACCTCTTTTTCATCATGCACCCCTCTTCCTTTGGCAAAAGGATCCGTCCCTCTTCTCGCCTGCTTTCCAAAAACAAGCCATCTCCTTCGAAGTCATGCCTCGCCGCTTCGTGCTCTGATCGGGAGTCCTCCCTCTCTGGAGAGCCTCACGTCCGGAAGACAGTACACTTCCCAGACGATGACCTCTTTCTCCAGCGGATCAGGACGATCCCGCCTCGCGAACGCCGGCGCATGGCCATTCTCAAGAGAGGTCAGATCACGGAGACAAAGTGGTTCCTCATGTACACTTTGCATTCCTCTGGCTCCAACCAGCGGTTCCTTCGCAAGCTTCATAGGCAGTACTCTCATGTTCGCTATGCCGCCCGTCCCCGATGGGTGAGCATTGTACGTGCCCGTCATCTCGCCGCTGCCTATTGTTGTGAGCCCCGTTCTCCGCGATCTGCACCTTCCCCCGATGGGTCAGTGCCTGAACCTGCCACCGATGGCTCACTGCATGATGTCTTTGATATGTCTTCACTGAAGATTGCCCTGCCTGAGCTTGCCTCGGCTGGTTCATCGCATGGGTCTGCCTTCGACATGTCCTCGATACTTCATACACTGCCTGATCCTGACCCGACTTTCAACATGACCTCTCTGATGGATGCCCTCCCGGACCCGAATGCCGCCTTCGGTATGTGCTCGCTGAGGAGTGCCCTGTCTGAGTCTGCCCCTGAGCCATATGGGTTTGCCTCTGACATGTCCTCTCTGATGCGTGCACTTCCCGACCCTGATGCTTCCTCTGATGTATCATCCCTTGCACCTGTGCCCAAGTCCGTGGTTGCTTCCTACTCTCGCAAGTCTCACAAGGTTCGTCCTGTACGTGTGGTCGAGACCCACGTCGAGGTTGGCCCCTTCTCGGTCACCTGCTTCTTCAACCTTTGTGGGCTCTCGGGTGTGGTGATGTGCTTCTTCCCATGGATCGCGCCAGTCATCTTTGCGGCACTTGTGCTCCTGTTTATCTATGGGACATGCTTCTTTTGATGCTACCCGTCGGCATTCGGTGTCATCCCGGTTCCCTCGGCATGGCTTCCTCTTCCTTCCTCCCCGGTTGCTCTCATCTTGTTCTTCTTTCTTTCTGTGTCTTGTCCGTGTCTTGTCCCGTTCTGTTGAGGCTTTTGCCGTTTGCTTTTTGAGAAAAGAAAAAACCCCCCAAAAAATGCTTTCCCTATCGCCCTGTTCTGTTCTGCTGAGGCTTTTGCCGTTTGCTTCCTGTTTCATTTTGCTTTGTCTTTGGGGTTTGGGGACAACGTCTCTGTCTGTGATCGCGCGGAAGGCAGCAGAGCTTGTGGTGGCTCAATCAGGTGGAAACGAGGGTAAGTCCTTACCAAGCATTTGACGATTCCACGAGCTGACATAGTGATCAATTTCAGTTGGTTGATGAACCGGATCGTACCGGTCGAACGCCTCTGTCTGTGATCGCGCGGAAGGCAGCAGAGCTTGTGGTGGCTCAATCAGGCGGAAACGAGGGTAAGTCCTTACCAAGCATTTGACGATTCCACGAGCTGACATAGTGATCAATTTCAGTTGGTTGATGAACCGGATCGTACCGGTCGAACGCCTCTGTCTGTGATCGCGCGGAAGGCAGCAGAGCTTGTGGTGGCTCAATCAGGCGGAAACGAGGGTAAGTCCTTACCAAGCATTTGACGATTCCACGAGCTGACATAGTGATCAATTTCAGTTGGTTGATGAACCGGATCGTACCGGTCGAACGCCTCTGTCTGTGACCGCGCGGAAGGCAGCAAAGCGTGTGTGGCAACTATATTCCCCTCTTGGATGTATTGCTCCAATCCTTTTGGAAACAGCATGGTTGAGCCGCATGGCCTTCCTACTTTATGTGCTGACATATTATAGATCGGTCAAATGCCTCTGTCTGTGAGCACGCGGAAGGCAGCAGGGCGTGTGGTGCTTGGCTTCATCTTTTTTTCCCTCGAAGGTAAATATGAACCCACTCCTTCTCCCTTTATGACTACATGCTAACTACATATTTTCCGGGGGAGGCTCCAGGGAACGTCTCTGTTTGTGATCGCGCGGAAGGCAGCAGAGCGTGTGGTGGCTTGATCATCTTATCTTTCGGGGTAAGCATGCTCCACTCCTATCCTTGACGTTGCTAACCCCGAGACTTCCAGGGAGGATATTGGCAAACGTCTCTGTCTGTGAGCGTGCGGAAGGCAACAGGACGTGTGGTGGCTCGTCTTTCGGCGAATGGAGTATGTTCATGCCTTTTTTCATCGATTTGTGTGGCAACACTGACTGACTTATTAGTATCCGGTGGTATCCTCCTACCTTTTTCTTTCTCTCTTTTTCATCATGTGCTCTCGCAGTGCGAGAAGCATGAAGAAAGGAAGTTGAAGGGGAGTATCTTTAAAAAGCCTGTGTGCATCGACAGCTGTTGAGACAGCCTTACTTGCCTCAGGCAGGACCTCTGCTCTTCACCTGATCCTCAATCTCTCTCTCTCCTTTCTCTTCCTTTCTCACCCTCTAATTAGCTCAATTCAACCAGCGGTTTCTTTTCCACCTTTCCTTCTCCATGCAAACCTTAGAATGAGGATAGAACAAGCACATTTGTGATCACTTGGAGTCGCAATGAACACTTCTCATCCAAACGGAGATTCCTGTTCTAAATTACAATCAGAAAATCTTGAGAAGTACTCGTAGCCTCCGCAAATTCACTGCCATCAAAAAGAAGTATCCATGGCCATCACATGTCATAGCCAAGAAAAGCTCAATCTAATTAACTATGTGGTTGCCGGGTTGAAAGCTACAAATCTTATACCATAGGTCTATGCAAGTATTGCCAGTCTTGCCCTCAAACACCGTCCAAACAGTACATTACGTTGGATGGCACTGATCAACCATATACCGGGACGCGTCACATGGGCTACAAAGACGGTCACCGATGAGACCACTGACACTGTCGATACATAATCAGCGACCATCTGAATGCAAAGCCAGATTTAGTATTACTGAGCATCCGTCCAGACCACTGAGTATCTCTATCCAGACATGAGGTGTAAATGGTCTGATCGCAGCAAGTCCCGTAGTCAACTTTGATGCTAGGTAACCGCCCGAGGTGACGGCCTGGATCACCTCTAGGATTTCAGTGCCTGCTTTATCACGCTCTCACTGTGGGCGGTGCGGGCGTGTTGGCCATGTCGGGCATTGTGGTTGTTGAGGTGTCGGTTTTCTCCGTTGTTGTCGCGAATCACGAATCATGTAGGATATCCGCCTGTTGAGGGTACTGTTGAAACATCCCTAGTTGTTGTTGCGGTGTCTGTGTTCATTGTGACACGCACGCACTAACTGTCCCAGTAATGGTAATTGTAATGGCCACGGTCGATGTGAGCTGAGTAGGGCTAGATGATCCTCGTCAGTGATATTGACGGGTTTATCGGTTGTTGGGATGACAGATCTGGCGCTGGTGACAGGGTAGGTGACAGAGCAAGCTCTTGTTGTGATTGAATACCGCTCTCTGATTCAGTCTCATCTTCATCATTTATCTCTGATACATCTCCCACTTCGCTTCGTTCCTCCCCACCAAGTTTCGATGCTTTGTTCCACAGAGATCGGATCTGGTGAGAGCGATATCGTCTCTCGGAGTCTAGATCTCGATAAATCTATCGGAATCGGAGGATTTCTTGATAGAACTTGAGGATTTGGAGGGTCTCTTGATGATATTGACTGAGGAGAGATTGGCAGATCTGGTGGAAACGCTCCGGGTATGCTTGCTTCAGACCATTTTTGCTTGCTTATTTGCTGCGTCGGTCTGATCATTTGTTTGCTTGACTGCGGCGTCAATAGCAAATCAGATTTCAATGGTTATCCCCTTAGATAATTCAACCAATTTCAGGATCCTTTCTCATCCAATATGACCTAGTCTTCGGTGCCAGGTATAGAGAGAAGCCTTAGATTCCGGTTCCTTTACTGATCTCTTAGCCGTTGCTAGAGCCAGTTCGTCATTTTGGGTAGGGGCTTTAAACCCTCTTAAAAAATCCTTTTCTCCTGGCTGTGTCAGCCAGGATAGTTGTTGATCTTCGTGGACTGAGAATAGGGGCTTTCCTCCTACTGTTTCGATACAGTTATTCCTGAAGTTCATAAGGGCCCCCCATTTAGTGATTAACCCGTGGGAGATCAGGTTGGTGTGAAATCTCGGAGAATATCTCGTGTTTCTCAGCTCCATTTTTGCGATTTGTCCTGTGACTGGACTGACACCCTGCACTATCATAGTACCGATGCCTTTGATCTGGGTTCTCGTGTCTCCAACGTTGACACTGCTTTGCACGTTTTCGAAGCTCACGAATATTATATCTCCGATATGTGTGTATTGTGTTATCTGAAACTATGAAGAGGGGAGGAAGCAGAGAGACTGAAACTATAGAAGTCTACCATAGAGAGTAGAAGAGGATACATCTCGATTACGGGGCTTGGAAGATGGCCCGATTTACGTGATCTTTCAGAGAGATATGAAGATTTGAAACACATTTCTGGGCCGTCTGGGACCTCTAGGTCACTGACTTCGTGACCGCGTCACAAGAACTCCCCACGAGAGGACATCGACAACCCTGTAATGTAATGAATGTGATATGTGCTAGCTGTCGAAGACGGCAGAGGAATGGTCTTATTTGACGCTCCCTATATATCTTTCGGCACAGACTGAAGACCGTGAATAATATCAGCCTTTAGATCTTCCGCCTCCTCACTCAGGATAGACTCACATTCTGAATTTGAGGCTCGAAATTCGCCTCAAAGACAGCATTTTTGCTTGCATTAGCAAGCTCTTACCTCAACTACACGATCTCGCCGCTTCCCCGTCACCCTTAACCACCAGGATATTGTCTCATTCAATTACCTTATCGACGATTCTACGGGTCGCGTTCAAGCTGTACTAGACTGGGATGGTTATGGATAGTCTTTTCGGATTTATAGCCCAAGTTGTTGACAGGACACGAAATGTCACTGACTTGAATCAAGAAAATTTCTCTTTCCATCTTCCTTGCCCCGGACTTAGATCGACTATGTTAAATCCAGACCCGATCGGAAAGTCCTCGGAATCCCTCACCCCATAAATGACAGAGCCCTTCGGAAAATACTCAAAAGACTTTGATCCTCCTTGGTTGAATGGAGCGTAGCCCCATCTAAGTCACTGTTATCCTTCATATAAGACAACAAGAGTTTGGCATACGAGGCAGCCGTTGCCGCCGCATATTCTTGAAAGCGCTTGTTCTTGTGACTATCCGAGTAATCGCATATGCCCCTGATAACAAGACAAGGTAAAGTATTCATGATACCCGCTGCTTCCATCTCGAAGCAAAGCACATCTCTCTCCATACTCCACTTGTCACGGAGTTTTGCGTCTTTCATGACTTGATTGCCTGATGCGATGAGGCCATAGTGAATTTGCGGGTGATGATCTGATCGACCGGGACGTTTAGTAACCTGTGTTGCATTACAAGGATCGCAGGTGGTGTGCTTGGAATTATGCGCGTAATGGCTGGGGAATAGACGATCGTGTTCTGAGCCTGGATAGCGGTAGTCCTTTTTGCAAGCTGCAATTTCTTGAATGTATTCCTGCAGAGGAGCTTGTGGTAGATAGGGATCGGACTTTAGACTGCTGAGCGCAGTCATTACCAGCCGAGGAGGTGGCTGCAGAAATCCACTTTGCTGAAACTCGCCATTCTCGAGGGCCTTACCCATGTCATACTGAATCACACCGGGGCCCATGCTGTTCGGCTTGCTAACAACGACATCGCCGAGCCGAATATCATTCCTTGACGATGGAACACCACCACCAATACCGACCAACAGACAAAACTTTACCGACGGAAAGCTTCTTCTCAAATTGGCTGCAACATCCGCCGCAGAGTTCGTGCCATACTCTCCGTCTGGAAGACAGGCAGCAACGACCTTGTGCCGCCCTATACTGCCTAGAGCGTAATGATTTGAATCCGCAGACATAGAGAGGTCGGGGTGAGTTTGATCGAATAGGACGCGAACTGCCAGGAGCTCCAACGGCAGCGCGCACACAATGCCAACAGAGTAGTCATCGGGTTTGAGTGACTCCAATTGCCACCTGGTGTATGATCGGACGAGAGGCTTGGGGTGCGCTGGTTCATTCTCCACGGATATTCTGTCAATAGTAATGTCCGTAGAGGTTGAATGGATTTGGGAGCTTGATACGTCAAGGATATCACTTTCAGAACCGATTGAAGTCATATTGCTGCTGGTATTTTTGATCTCGATTGTTGGAGAAATCGGATTTCTTTTATTGGTTGCGATTTCGTCTATTTCGTCCCTTTCAGGTTCTCCGGTATCACCCCATCGCCACTGGAAGTTTCGATTGTATCCAAAGACAACTGCCCCATCGTGTGACAAATTGGCAGTTTCCAGGCATGTCTCTGGCTTAGCTGATAGCGTGTCTGGCAATATCACCTGTACTATATCGGTGTGATCTGCGGTGGCATCAGTGCAGTCACATGGCTCAAAGACTGCATCCGAGCTGTGCCACAGGAGGTTCTCGCTCAGCCGTATGGGTCTTGTCGTGAGATCACCCGTATATTCAAGAACCAACTTTAAATCTGATATCCCGGCGGCAAGATAGTACTGCTCTTTGGGAAGTGAAGCCCAGTACGGACAAGAAACATCCGATGAGGCTAGAATCTCACCAAAATTGCGACCCAGGAGATTGATTGCGTGAATTGAACGCGTGAAATCAACCCATGACTTTCCCTTAGGAGAAAAGGTCGCTCGTCGTGGATGGACTGAGTCTCGTTCCGTGGCGAGGTCGTGAAAGTCCCAGCCTTCGAAATGGGCCCTGGGAATGGCTTTAGAATTGTATCCACTACCATCTGGCCCGGCGGCATGTACTTGATAATCAAATATCTGCTCGAGAATGTTTAAGTAGTGTTCAACTCGGTCTTCGAACTTGACATTGTCATCTTTGCCTTCATAGATGGTTAGGGCTCGATTCTTGTGGTTCAAAAGAACTGCAATGGCGAATTGGGACGCGTTCTTTGAATCAACTGTTGCCTCTTCTAAATTTTCCCACTTGAATTGACACTCTGAACTGAAGGGCCCCTCAGTGTCATGCAGGATCGACGCACGCACGAGATGCAGGAGGGCTCTCGCTCCGTTCAGAAACCACCCTCGCTTTGTCTCTTCATCCCAGAGGATCACGGACTTTTGGATAATCCATTTGAGTTTCCGGAGGTAGCCACCTCTAGAAACACGAAGTGGTGTATCTTTGTATCCTACTAAGAATGGTGCGCCACCTTTTATCATCTGCCCATTATGAATTAACGCCTGGCTAAGAAGTCCATCTTCACGTAGCCTTGGAAGATGGGAGCCTGATATGTCATACGCTGCATCTCGTGTGCCTTGAGAGTTACGGATGTTAGCAGAAGAAACTTAGAGATTTCGTTAAATCATACCTGCAAGATGTCTTGCATTTGCACACCACCCTAGAATGTGACGGGCCTGTGATAGCTGCGAGGCTGACAATCCCTGAACAGGAAGCACTGCGCTGTCAAGGTATGATATTCGATCGCCAGTTTTGTTGAGAACCAAATGCCACACAGTCGTCTCTTCATGATTCTCGGTTGGAATAAGCATAGAAGAAAATCCTTTGATGATCACACTCTCTAGGAAGGTGTTCACATAATTTGCTTGCACAAGGCGAGCCATCATGGGAAGTGGAATATCAAGACCTTTCACCGTACCCAATCCAGATCGTCGAGATATTGGGAAGCCTTCAACGACCACACCGCTTCGAAAGAGATCATGCCAGCACTCCCCGTTAATTTTGGGAAATTTTCCCACATGCTTGACCACAAATGAGATATTTGCGCTGAACTCGGTAGTTTTCTGCTTCTTGCCACTTTGACGTTCATCAGGGATTGTTATCAGATTACCAACTTGAGGTTGACAATATACAATTTGATCAGACTGGGGCGAAGAACGAAGAGCTGATCCTAGCCAGGAGAGCTGCTCCCCAACCTCGGCGATTGAATAAGCAGGGCCTTTGACTTCACATACGATCTTGGGATTTTTTGACGCATCGGAGGAATCAAACCAAGCGACAAGATCTGTACCATCAGGTAGGTTGCCTAAATAGCAATTAGTAGAATTAGTAGACGACAAGACAAATGCATCCTTTGTGGGTGATATGATAGCTTACTCGTTGCCTTTCCCCCTGTTCTGGTTTTCAACAAACCCTGCAGCAATCCAAGCATATTTCCTCCAGAGAATGGCCATGTTTGATGAAGATATTGCGAGCAAGTCAGCGCCTGTGCTGATTCGTGTGAGCCAGTGAGTGTAATGACTAGAGGGAGTGATTTGGCATTGCCCTCGCAGTATTCCTGATCTTTCAGAAAGGAAACCAAGTCCCAGTCCAAAGTATACGTCATTTGATAAGACGGTATGGAATCTCGTCTGCTGAAACAGAGCTGAGATGGTAACTTTCGCAGAATTGCACCGGAAATGTCTGCCATTATATTCGGATTAAGGGGTTCGAGAAGACAATGTCTCTGAATATCGCCAAGGAGCCAGTCATAGGCAGGGTTTTCAAGGACACACTCGCGGTATTTCTGTAGCCCCGGCATGGCAGGATATGCTTGAGGGTTGGACTCCTCTCTTTCTTCAATCATGGGCAACGAAAGCGCAGGAAGTTCGGCAGAACCAGCCTCGTTATCTTCAAAGCCTGACTCCGCGAGATGCCTCAACCATAGCTGCATCTTTTCATTGAGCGGCATATTGTCATCTACAATGGAATCTGTTTCTATGGATGGACCGTGCAGTAAATCACTGAATGCATTGGCGATTTCACTTTGCAAATTGTCAGCAATATTATACTAGGACCTGGCCAGAAAGTGAAATTTATCTACTCACTGTCTGTATTTGTGAATGAACACAGTCACGTCTTGCTGGACCTGTTCAGTTGAGCCAAAACACCCGAGTCTCGATGAAAAGGCTTTCAGGCAGTCAGGCATGGCATCGGCGACATGTTTCATGGATGCAGAGTCTAATCGGAAAGAAGAAACGGCTTTGAAAAGCTCATGAGCGAGCTCATCAACGTAAGCTTCTTTGGTCAAGGTATCAGAATATATTGTTTGTCTGTCGTCCGTCTCCGATTCTGAAGATATTGGAGCCGTGGGAGCGGTCAGGCCTGTCAAAGCTGTTCGAGTGTCCAGGGTAGAATGTTGACCCGAAGAAAATACTGGATCAGACACATATTGAGGCTCCGACCCAATTGTGGAAGAGAACTCTTGTTCCAAAATGGAAGTTTCAGGCAAACAAAAGTCTGTGGCATCTAAGTGCTCCCGCGATGTGGCACTTTGCAAGCTTTGCGAGTCCAATTCGATGTCACCGATTTGCTGCAGCACCAGGCGAGCCTCGACCAGGCAATTGTTAGCGGTGCAGACACAATCCGTTGCAGCGTCGACCATTCGTTTCCCCTCATGGGGTATGAAGACCAGGTCGTTTTTGTTGTCGTCATCATCGTCGTGAGATTTGTCAGGTTGGAACATGTCGCGCGCGGCGTGGACCAGCTCCGACAGCTTCTCTCGCATCGACTCGCGTGCCGTATGCAGTAGCCTAGTTCGCTGGGAATTATGCTCACAGACGGTATCGATCACATTTAGCAAAGCCTGACAAGACTGGACGGCCTGTTGGGTAATTGTGGGTATAGCTGGCGAGTGCTGTAAATGAATGCCGATAAAAGCTCCTAGCGCATCCAGTAAAGCATCATATGTGGTTTCTAGACGCTCCGACGCAAGATTGTGCACACGAAGAGTCGACGAAGGACCAGAAGATGAAACCCGCGGGGATACCAAGATACGCTTTGTCGGGGGTATATCGAATTGAGTACCGGCTGTTTCTATCTTGGCAATTGTCCTACTTAGACCGACCTCGTCATTCCAAATATCCAGGAAGCGAACGCCACAGGTGACAATCTTGAAAGCCTTGAGAAGCATCTCATCCAGAATTGCCTCGACCTCATCCTCCATTGGGGCGCCATTGGCAACATGCCGAAAGCGCTGAGCGGTCCTAACAAATGACGAAAGACTGGAAAGCAAAGCCTTGCGGATCCGGCGAAGCACATCATACTTCTTGACGAGGGGTGCCTCCCGAGTCAAGCACTCGGACCTTTCTAAAAGCAAACGAACACCAGCAATAAGGCCTTGCGTCAAGTCTTGGTTGCTAAAATCCTTGAGTGATGAGCCACATCCTCCTCGCATAATGTCCCAACAGTCTGTCAGTGCTTTCAACAAGGGACGCATAGGGAATTGGTCATATTTTTCACAATAATTAGTAGGGAGCCAGCCTCGATATCCAGTATCTAACAAGGTGCCGTCGGCCCAGCCATTGGTGTGAACGGAGTGAACCAGGATGATATCGCCCTGGTCGAGTGGAAGGATAATCGTCGACGGAGAGACATCTCCGGTGGGAAGAAATGGATAGAAGGCGCGCAGGTAGCTGTGAAAGACGGCTCTAGAGGCCTCGGCTTGTTCCATATTGTGTTCGGGCGGAGTAGTTACTTGTGGTGTCAATGGTGGCGTTACAAAAGGCAAAATTTCAGAGCTGCAGTTCTTACTTATCGCCGGGCTTGCAACCAAATCTAGCTCAGCGGTTCTCGATCATTGTTTATGCAGCGAGCCAGCGTAGAGCAATGTGAAGCTGCAGAATTAAAGAACAAATAGAGTCAAAACAGAAGAAAGTCACGACGAGGTATGCAGGTAATGTGACTGCGGGGCTCTGCTCTGTTCCACTCGATTCACATCGCGGCCGTGCTGCGCCACGACACTATTAAGCGAAGGACTGTGCAGGCTATGTGAATGCAGCCAAATATCTAGCATTGAATTTCCACAATAGTCTGGGCCTAGAGCTTGTGAATGCTGCCTTTAGAAAATATCCTCCACACGAAATATTTCTCAGAATCTTTGTTGGTTAAGAAGCACAAGGCGTCCACGGGGCGTCAGAAACTTCTGCCACCAGCTCTCATATACTGCGCAGGTGCTGAATAGACTTCTCAAGATTGAAGAATATCCAAGACGGGTTTCTTGGAATGGAGTTTGTCATATGAACAAGCCCAACACAGGCAAATTTTATTGGGAAGGACTTGAACCTAAGAAGGCTTTCTCAGAATAATTCATTCTTGAGAATCCCCTTCTATGACCCAGCTTATTCTGGAGTGACAAGAGAGTATTTCCCCCCAAATTTATTAGAGTTAGGTCATGACCAATCAACACAGTTTGTCTAGCATCAAGTGACAGAAGTCTGTATGAAATGTATGGTATGAATTGAGTATATGGAACTCTCTGTATTTCTGTATACGCGCTCCTTACCATTTATAACTATGGAGCCTCCCTTATCTAATCAAAACAATGGAGCATTCATAACTCCTCTGGTATGCTTGGTGTATGCTTGGCGTAGCATATTACCTGTACATTGTCCCAAGTATGCAGACTCGGTATTTGACACCCCCCAGCTGTTGAAGCTTCCCATCTGGTAGATTCAAGAGCTGTATTTCTCAAATCGACCTCTGCTTTTGATCAGGTGACTGATATCTCTCACCCCGATCATCTCTCGGAAGATCTGCTGCTTCTGCTTCGGCAGCGGTTTCGTCCATCAGCAGGCATCTCTGCTGTAGGGACCCAGTCAACGTGGACTCGACCGGCTAACACTTCTTGTTTTATCCAGCAGCGGTTTATATCGACGTGCGGTTGTCGATGTCCCCGTTTCCTCACGGGCTAAACCCAAGCTACCAGAGGTGGGAGCCACGGTAGGAAACACGTGCAGAAGACTGCCACAGCAACAAGGATTGGAGGGAAAAGAAATGGGATTAAACACAAAATATGTATCTTCTCAAAAGGCAAAAGACAAGAGTGATAATTGGGGGGAGAACGTGGTTGCTTTTTTGTTCATCGCATAACACCATTTCCCAACAGCCAAGAAATGACACAGATGACGAGGACAGACGCTTTGAGGCATACTGGGGATGTAGAATTCCTATAGTAACTAATCATTGTTTCGTTCGATTTGGAGCTAAAGCTACATTACGTATTTCATGTGTCCATACAAATATGTATCGGTATCTCGGGGAAGTTCGTCACTTAGGGCTAATTGTCGCAAAGCCCGATTCCGAGACTGGAAACCTGGCATGTGGTCCTGGGGCCTTTTACGGTCAAAATTTGTTTATTACGTGCAGTTTTATATACAGAATGAAGTCAGATATTCTGGCATCAATATCAATGGTTGTCCTATGCTTGAAGCCATCAAACTCGAATGTCGGGGATTGATATACTCGGACCGCTCCGCGAATCCACGGGACTACAACTACATTGAAATAAAGGGATGGAAAAAAAAAACATATTAGAAGGTTATTCAATACTACGCCTAAAGCAGACGACAAGGTAATTTGTAACAAACTCGTAATGTAAGAAAGCGCCAGCATAACACCAACCCATGAGAAAAAAAAAAAGAGAAAACCGCACAAACTCACAAGACCAGTAACAAGATCAAGTAGATGTTTATGTATGTTGCAAGAAGGGGGAATAGTTGTAAAGAGACAACCCGCAAAGCCCGGCCAGCTGAGAACAAAACTCTATACAAGTCGTGACGTGTAAATGCGCTGAAACAGATCCAGATAGGTGTAAAGGGTGTGTTGTGTACGAGGTGACGGGGAAAAGGGTATGAGACGCCAGAAACCAGAATGGATACATGGTCGAGTGCGAGATATGAGGTAAGCAAACGCTCAACGTATTGAAGGATAGCAAAAAGGATGAAAAGATAGGATGGATGGATCATGGACTGGGGGGAAGAAAGAAATGTGCCATTTCCACATGGCAAATTCAAGTATCCGACAAAAGGACTATGGCGGTGTCGGAGTTTGTCCAAACTCGGCATGGTCGTGAGGCTTATCGCGGGATCGCATGTACATAGCATCGGAGTATGCGTCAGCCGGGGGAGCGATCTCCCGAGGGAGGCTTCTGTGATGTTGTTGTTGCTGCTGTTGCTGCTGTTGTTGTGTCACAACCTCTCGTGCGTAGAACTCTACGAGCATTGTCCCATACGACTCTAGTTCTTCGACGGTGATGGCGAGTCGGAAGTCGTTCAGAAGGAGGAATTGTAGCTCTAGGTGGTTGAGCTCCACCAGTGGGAGACCGCCAACCTGCATAGCCAATCATGATTAGTCTTAATCCACGAGTCAGATATACGAATCACATACCTTTGCATAACGTGAATTGGTGTAGAAAACATCAGAGAAAAACTTGCTCGCACAGGTCACGGCAGCTATGACCAGTCGATGGATATTAAAGCTATCAACGACGAAGAAATGTGAAAGTGCCTCGGCATCCGACTGAGGCGAAAGGCCGGGCGAATTTGAAGCATTCGACCCTTGCATGTCCTGCGCAGGGAAGCCTGTCGAAGGAGGCGGTGTAGCCATTAGAGAATCCTGCATCTGGCGAGCTCCTGGGGATTCAGTAGATTCGGACGAAGCTTCAGATCCCGTGGCAGAGTCCCAACGTTGGTGCATGTGTTCGAGCTGATCGCGGTTGACCAGCTCGGTCATGCGATCAAAGTAGACCAACAAGCTTAAAAAGACCTCGTAGGTTGTGGGACAATATTTGTGGATGCGAGTCAAATAACTCAAGATTGTAATGGTCGGAACATTCTTGCCGTGGAAGGCGAGGACGCTGGTGGCCTGCGGGCTCAGGTTGGATGTGCCCTCGGGCGGGGGGATATGGCGATGTACATGTTCGTGATGCATATCATTGGTGGTCGTGATCTTGGTCAAAAGTCCAGCGACCATCTCGATGATCTCCGTGACCGGCATGGAGCTAATCTCATACTGTCGTTGTTGTGACCTAGTTCCGGGAGTGTGTGAGCTCGGTCCGATAAAGTCCTCATTGGCGAGACTTTGGATGTGAGATAAGCTTTGGACTCGAATACGGCTCGGTGAATTGGCTTCCGAGCCTGGCACGGACTGCATGGACTGGTATGTGGGTTGGAGACGCGGTGAATCGGGCGCCGACTGATTAAAGTAGTTGCTCCCGGTCTGGGTTGGCGGGGTACGTGAGTAGCTGGGAGGAAAGGCAGGATGAGACGTCATTGAAGGCGGTTGTGGGGTGAAAGTGGGAGGAGTATCGGAAGAGCGAGAAGCTTGTGAAGGTGTGTATGAGTTGAGGTAAGCCGGCACATCATTCGTATGCACAGGAAGCCGGGCAGAGCCTACGGACGGTGGGGCGGAGGTGGGGGTGTTTGAGGCAGTCGAGTGAGCGTCCATAGACACATAATCCGAATTAACTCCCAACATGTTATGATCCTGCACGTGGTTGAGGACGACGGAGCCCATGTCAAGGCTATGGTCTGTTTTTCTGCGGGAACACGGGTCAGCAAGGCGGTCGCAGTTCGGCCTATCTCGCCATAAACAGACGGGACAATATGGGACAGGAAGATGAGACAAGAATAATAGAAAATGATATACGCAATACAAGAGAAAAGAGAGGGGTCTGCATACACTTTTGATTACCACCAAGGGCTAGAACAGATCAAGGAAGTACCCCAGGCTAAAACACGGAGTGGGAGGATCAACAACTGTCGATCGAATCCATTTTTTGAGAAAGAGATAAAGAGAAAATAGAGCAGAAGAGCAGAAGACGCGTAAGTAATATGGGGGGGGGGGGGGGGGGGGGAGTTTGGTCAAAGTGAAGTCAGTGAGGTCAGTGTGGTCCCCGAGAGATGAAACAAGATTCAAGTTTCTAGACAACTTTATAGGTATAATTCTTGTTTGGACTACATGTAATAAAGGAGTAGAAAAAAAAGGAAACATCTACTTCAAAGAGGTTATCTACCTGTCATTAAAAAGGCCATATAAAAGACGGTGTAGAATTTATACAAGGGCTTTTCCGGACTTATATTGACGAATGATAGAAGGATGTGGGCGCCCGTGGACAAGTTATGATACAGATATTGTCTGAGCGCGATTTATCCTCATTAATAGGGAAGTAAAGTAATATTTAAGGGAGATATAAACCCTGAAATTCCACGGTGCATATTCCCCGACATACAGAACCATGCATTTCCCTTTGTCCAGGGTATATAGACTTGCATCGATGGAGAGGCAGTTCGTGTGCTGCATGTAGGATGTGACATGTTCTGCCTTTCGATCTCCCAAGGTCTGGGCAGTACTAATGGAAAACTACACATCTAGGAGTGTTCTACAGAGTACATGGTACTACAATACCAGATAGACCAGGGTATATAAAACCGGTGTTCTTCCTTTAAGGACACCACTCGGCACCGATGACCCAATAGCCCACTGGCCGAGCACTTCCGATCTAGTCCTTAATCTGCTCGGTCCCTTTCTCCCTACATAGCCCGACGATAAAGGTGGGGGTGGGATATGGCAGCACCCGTGGACTAGTGTCAAACATGTCATATTGGCGCTCAGACACATATCCCCGGTGGGGGCGCATAGCAGAATGCAAAGACCGGAGAGCTGGGATCATGA